ACTCCCTTGACTCCGGGATGTGCTGTTATTTTGCAAGGGAGAATTGATGGTGCAGTATTTTCCACACTCAGGGAGAACTGAATTTAGCTGTAGACTACCTTCTTTTCATCCTCTGTCAGCTAAGACGACAACCAGAAAGAAACTAGTCCAGCTCAAAAATACATCTAAAGAGCAGCAAAGAAATTTGGTGATTTTTTTTTTCCCCCTGGTGTGGAAGCATTTGGAAGAAGTTGCGCATTCCAAATTTGGACTGTTTTGAGGTGAATTATTTTACACAGCTCTAGGCCAAGTTATAAAACATTCTCTATGAAGTAGTTGATCTGACTGCAGGAGTGAGTCAAATGGAAAAGCCCGTGTCTCAGTAGGTTTAAAGTCCTCCTTTCAGATATCCACTACAGCTGGAGCATATTATCAAGAAGAAAAAATCTCTTCTGCAGAGAAACAGGCTAGTATATTCTCCCACAGAAGATATTTTTAGTACCTGAAATTTTTGTACTGGAGCCCTTTCTGACTACAAGATGCATTACCAGTGTACCTGGCAAAAAGCAAATAAGGACAATTCAACAACAAACATGTCCAAGTGAAAAGGTTTTGCAAAAAAACCTAAGCCAGCATGCTCTTAGGGGAGGCAACTCTGTTTTCAGTCAGCCAAGAAGCCATGTGCAAGGTTGGTGAAATTAGCTCATAGGTTTGTCTTCCACAGTCAGACGAAATGTGTTTTCTTTTTCTGTTTGATTTAGTGGCTATTATGGTTGAAGTTTTCCACTACCTTGTGTAAGGGGGTGCAAGGAAGGCACAAATCAGAAACTCGTGTTGCTCTAAAAAATGTTCATGTCTGCCCAGGCTTGCTGAGGATCATGGCTGTGAGCCAAAGGACCTTCTAGAAGTATGGACAAGATGGGGTGGGACACTTATCCACATTCCTACCTTGGCCCCTGCCCCCTTGACGCACTTGCCCAGCTGCTTTTCCCCTCTGAACACCTGAGTAGGAGAGCTGAAAAAGCTGAAGGATCTGAAGGAAGCAGGATAGTGTGGTGTAGATTTACCACAGTGAAAGGGGACAACACTTGAAAAAATACCCATGTTGGGAGACTGGCAGCTGCAAAGCTCAATGGAAAACCTAAGTAGAAAACCCCCCCTAGGATACCTAGAATGACTGTCGGGAGGTGCATCAGTGGGAGAATTAAGGGGGCAGAACATCTTCTACAACAGTGCAAAACTGTTAGTGGGCCTGGGGAAACTGATTTATCTGGGTGGTTCTGAAGGTCAGCAGTCTCACCAGAGAGCTGGACCCTTCACTCCCTCCAAAAGATCCATGCGTTTTCCTTTATGATCGGCCTCACTGTCAGAAATTGCTCTTATTTGTCTGAAAGCTCAGGCGTGCAGAGCTCAGCCCTGCTGGCTCCTGCTGCCCAAGGCTGTGGTACATGTGCGGCATCGTTTGTACAGTGTACTTGAATGTCTGCGTGGGTGTGAACGTGTCCCCCCTGCTCAGCTACAAGGCTTAAATTGCAGAGAGCCACCAGTGGGCAGCTCCCAGGGCTGCAGGAAGAGATGTAGGACCGATCATCACTGTGGTGTTTAATACTTCACTGCATAAAGCATCCAGTGAAGTGGCTGCAAAGAGCAAATGACCTGTTTGATACAATTGTACGTAATTTATAGTTCCCTACACATGCAATGTTTGATTGTGTGGCACTTAGGACCGGAGGGGAGGAGACCCAACACAGGAGAGGGGCAGATTTCCTTTTCAAGCTTTTACACATATTGTCCCACTCTGCGAGTGGTCCCACCTTGAGCTTCTCTATTCATGGAGGTTTTTTTTTCCTCCAGTTTGTTATTACTGTGCTCTGTGTTCCCCACCACCACCTTTCAGAGACTAAAATCTTCCAGTAGCTCTTGACACGTTTCAAAGAAAGATCAGGCAGGGGAAGTGAGCTGTGGTTTCATCTTGGGGCCCTGTTACAAAGGGTAGGATAGCTGGCTGCTAAATTATACCAATTTCTGAATTTCAATCTTAATTGTCATCGCAATGAGCATGGAGGGTGTGTGCACAGCAACATGTGCTTTCAATAAAGCTGCTATTATTGTTTTCATAATGCTTCCATGATTACCCCAGGGTCTTGTACAAAGTCACCAGACATACAGCAACAAAAAAATCCCCTCCCGTCCTCCAGTATCAAAATGTCTTTGCAGAACCAGTGCCAGCACCAGGCAGCATTGTGGTAGCCCCACCGCTCTGAGTTCTCACACTTCTCAGATGTCCCCTTAACAGCGTTTTCCCCTCCAGCTAGGAACAGCGCTCAAGTCACACAAAGCAAAATTCTTGTGAATCCTCTGAAACCCATTGACAAATGCTATGGTGGCTGTTCTCCCCAGATGGGACCTCTGACTTTATATGTCAAATGAAGTCTGCCCTTGTCTAATGTATTGTGCATCTAGGTAGGCTGTTCAGCACCTAGCATCCTTGGGTGGGTTTGCATTTCCAGGTAAGAGGACAGGGAGGTCTTCTAATCCTCTTACCATGATGTTTTGAAGTAGCCCAGCTGGAAACTGGAGTTAAGGAAAGCTGAAGCACTTGAAAAAAAGTCAGACTTATTCGGGATAAAGTACAGACCTCCCAAGGATGAAAGTGCAAACTGAAGGCCGTGTGTGCAGAGGAGAGCCCACTGCGTGCACATTTATCTGTCCCTTGTCACCACTGCAACCCTCTCAATAGCTCTTCTCAGCCTCTGCTTAGGTGGAACTCCACTGACTTCACTGTTCCTCTGACATCCACAGGGTTCGATGTACTGCAGTGAATGGAGGGTGCCTACTGTTACCTCATCCTAGAATTATTTCAGTCAATGGAAACTTAATAGTTCCTGAAATGGGAGGAAGAGGTTGCTTAGCCAGGGGTATAGTTGTCTTCCAAGTACAGTTTTAGACAGTTTGGCTTTCTGAGTTGGTGGTGGACTGTGGGTAATTGCAGAGTTTCACAATGCAGAGCTTTATAGGAGAAGACATCAGAATGGGATGAATTCTGCCCAGGTAAGCTATATTTATTGCACAATAACCAGAATACCTAGATTTGAACTATAATCCTGGCACTCCTATTTGCAAAGGCTGTGGCTACCCCAAGCAAAACTTTATCCCAGTTCTTCTTCCTGTACACACTCTTTTGATTTGATTTTTATTTTGTGACTATTGACTACCACCTCAAGGAGACAGAACTGAGTTCCTCCTACTATTAAAAAAAAATACACAGTAGCAAGTATCTCGGAAGACTTTCTTTCAGCAGTGAGATCTGCAGCTTTACTCCATGTAGCTTCTGGTCCCTGATGGCAAGCCACAGGGATACTCAGATGGGTGTTCTGGTGTCCAACACAAAGATACTTGAGGGCTTGTTGACGCACCAAGATTAAAAGGCACAGTTAGAACAGTACAGGTCAATACAGAGTGGGTAAAGTTACCAGGCTGGTTTTTTTGAGAAATATATGGGTTTGTTGTTGTCCAAATTCCTGGTGGGTAAGTTCTGCTCATCTGAGCACCTCCTTGATGAGTATATTCTGACTACACTGATACAGTACCTTCTCGCATTGAGTGCAGAGGTGTTTTAAGACACCTTTACACTATCTGACTGTAGCTCATGCCCCAAATAGTTTTGTAATACAGCTTTCCAGTGAAGAGCAAGATTTATTCTCCTTTACAGGAAAGATGCATCTGCAGTATACCTACTCTGTACCAGAACAGCAAGACCTTGGTTATTTGGTTTTATTTTCTCTTCTTCCCCTGCGGTTCCTACATGTATGCACATTTCATGTATGAGCATTTCTGCCGGCTTTCTGCAACTGATAATTGCAGAATGCAGCTTCTGTTTCCTGACCAGCTTTTCATGTACAAAAGGGTAAGACCACGTTGTCCTCGATGTGGGTGTGCAGGCTGCTGCGTTCAGTGGCCAACACCGCCGGCTACAGAGGAAACTAGAGGAGCCACGTGAGCTAGCTCACCTGCAGTGAATGTGGGGCAAGCAACCTCAGCATCTGCCCTGTGTGCAAGCAGCTGCCGCGGAATAGTTGATGTTTTACAAAAGCCCACATGCTCAGACTACAGTAATTTGGCACAAACCCAAAAGGGCTGTGTCTTACCTGCTGGTTCACAGAGCTGTGTCCTTAAAGCCCACTGCATCCATCATGCCTCTTGCAGCAGAGTTCAAGAACAAGCTCATCCCATCCCCTCGTTTTCCTGAACGAGTTGTGTGTAGTTTACTGAGCATCTTTTCAGCAACTCTGCCATTTCTGTCTGCTGCTGCTGCTACTCTGCCCACACCATCCACTGCTGGGTTATTTGCTGCCTGAGTCAGTAAACTGTGCTGGCTTACCCCACAACTGGGAAAATCCTCCTTTCCCGGTGTGAAAAGGTGGGGTGCAGGATGGATCGGTGACCGCCAGCGCTGCATACGTACACAGCTGGCAAATACAGAGTCCCAGCCTGCGGTCCCTTCTGGGAGGGCCAGGCAGTAGCCAAGTTGGGCAGTTCACAGGCTAGCACAAGCCACGACACGACTGTGCTGCAGTGGCATTGCTGGCAGCTCTGCAAATAGCACCTCAGATCCCATGGAGCACAACTGGCTCTTGTGCTCCCAACAGTGCTCTGCTAACCAAGCAAGGACTTTCCTTCTGCACCGGTCTCAGCATTCAAGTGTTCTTAGTAATACTCTCCAGATAGCGCAGCATTAAATTGAAGCTGGGGACTCATTTGATGGAAAACAAACAAGTAACATCTGCCCCAACCTCAAATAAAACCAACCTCACAAGTCTTTTCAAGGTCTGCATCAGCTTTTACAGAGACACAATTATTTGCCCCGCTGCTGCCAACTGGTTTCCATGCTAGGAGGAGACCATATGTTAGAGCACAAGTTGTTTGCAAAACACCTGATGTGCAAATAAAATGGATTAGAAAGTTCCGTATCCTCACCAGAGCAAATGAAACAGAAATAACTTTTTCCTTCATGCTTACAGGTTCCAGGAGGAGTGGACTCGGGACGTCATAGCTCCTGGGTGTTGCAAAGGCAATGATCATCTGCCTGTGTTAACCAAGAGCAGTAGTGCACCTGTGAGACACGCTGTAACAGGACACAACGCTGCAGTACGGACAGTGAATTCAATACATGTCGTTGAAGTCTATGGACATAAAGATAGTTATAACAAACCGAGCTGTCAGATACCTGGATAGCTGATGGCTGAAATACAATTGCTCCTCTGGACCAAAATGAAATTTGCATAGAAATACGTGCCTTAAAGACAACATAGAAAGTTAATTATTCATATGAATTTGAAAGTTTTCTATATTCCAAGATGGTTATTTAACAGAAATGCTTCAAGGTCTGATACAAATAAAAAAATGGACGTTGAGGCTGGCAGTCCATAGCCATTCTCTACGGCGTGCTATGTATTGTGACCATGGCAAAAGCATAATATCCTTCTTCTGTACCTCTAGAGAGAAATGGTAGCCAGTTTGTATAGTTGCTTCATACAGAGTCACTGATGATAATTACACATGCGTAAGATTGCAACCTTCTTTTAACCAGTGTTTTTTGTAAGCATTTCAGAATGAAAAATCCCCCATATTTTTACACAGTAGTATGTTAGAACTACAATAAAATTTTGTTTTTAATTAAAAGCCCCTGTTGTTTTGTATCAGGAAGGCCTTTTTGTTTAATTCATCTGCTCCGCATTTAGAGACCATGTGAGACTGGGTGCAGTAGAGGCACATCTCCAGATCCAGCAGCCTGTCAGAGAGGGGAGAGCAGATGGAGGGATGTGCAGCCTTACTGTGGCCCACTTTGCCCTGCGAGGGAGCAAACTGTTGACCACCTAGAGCTGGCATACGTGTCACAGCGCAAGAGAGCAGCCAGTGTGCTGGGTTGCAGCTGGGGAAGGCGGCGCAGCCTTCCTGGAGCAGCGTGGCCCAGCTGATCGCTGCAGCAGTCCTGTGAGAGTGCTCCATATAAAGGGGTGATGTCATTTTTTGGAAACCTGCCTTCTTTTCCTGTTATTAATCTGTTCGCTGTGTGAGGAAACAAGGAGGGGGCGGGTCTTATTTTGTCCATTTTGAATAGTTAAGTAACTGATGTGGCTCTTATTCTGCTGTTTCTATGCACGCACATGTATATCTTAGAGTTACAGTGTAGTTATTTTTGTTCAAGTTGAAGCCTTATTTATTCTCCGGTCATCAGCTATCTAATGGGTATTGTCACATTCCTGTCATCATGGAGATATGATCTTATAGCAAGCTCCAGTAATTGTTTTATTGTATATGCCGCTTGTTATGAATCAGGTATCCTCTTAAGACCTTCAGTTCTGAGGTTTTGGGGTTGAAATTCAAATTATTGTAGCTTGCTGGCAGGCCTAGAAATGCCCTGTTCATCCTGGCCATACTCACCAGAGATCAAAAACACGTGCTTGAACTTCAGCTATGTGGAAGCTGCAGCAAAGGAGCCTTTTTTGTTGTTCCTAATAAGCTCGGTTCTTCTATATTCATTACAGCAGGCTGCAGCCCTGCAATGCACTTCGTAATATGTGCTGCAAAAAGGAGAATGGATATACTTCTCAACATTCATTCCAATTAAGTTCTCAATTCATTAAATTAATACTAGGCAATGTTTATCAGGACACATTTGTGCTGCAAACCATTTTGCCTGCGGTTTTTCGGTACCCTGCCAGACCCAGCCAGCTTCTGTACCCAGATGCACTCTTGCATCCCATGTGCAGTGTTTGCTTCTGGCTGTGTGTGGGGCTGGCACTGGCTCCGTTGCCTGTCCCACGCCGCCAGCCCGGCTGCAGCCGCGCCGGGTAGCTCGCAGGGTCGCTGGAGATGTTTGGGAGGATGCAAAGGGGTCAGAAAGATTTTGAGAAAACGTGTTCTAAAGTTTTGGTGCAAGGCAGTCCCTAAGAGGGGCCAGCTGGAGGCCCTAGCAGGGTGCCCTCAAGTGGAAAATGAGATGCAAGGATGTGAAATCTCTGCACAAAGCTATGCACTCCAGCCATCACAGCAGCAGCTCTTCCTCACTGCTGGTGTGGGGTTTTCTGGCAGGACAGCTGGGAATGGCTGGGCTTCATTCGCCCGAGGAAAGCACTCCCGGGTCCTGTTTGAGAGAGAAGGCTTGAATAGCGTCAGTGGTGAAAGTCCGCAGGTGGATGAGAATAAAATCAAAATGTGTGAAAGGAGCATAGAGACAAACAAAGGCTGGGAAAACCAGCCAAGCATCCAAGATGCTCCTGTACATATGGCTGGTACATTAAAATTAAATGCAAAGAAGTTAAAGACTCTCCACATAATAAAAGGTAAAACTGAATAAGAATTACTAGTGCTTGTGGGACAAATGATAGGACTAGGATCTTGGCATGGTAAATGATAGCTTGTTCCAAGTAGGACACATGAGAAGAAAGGTCTATACATCCTCTGAAGTTCAGCATGAGGTGAAATGCTCATTAATTAATGCCTGTGGTTGGAGAACGAAGGGCAAAGGAGCATGGAGCATGAGCTACTGGGCGTTCAGCACTGTTTCTGCAGTTAGGAGGAGGAGCTGGGAGAAGAAGTTTACTTGGGGAAACCATCTTTAATACTGGGTGACTTTATTTGTCTCATTCTCTGCTGGAAGAGTGTACAACCATGAGGAGTTTGAATGTATGTCTTGGTGACTGCTTTATTTTTGAAGGTGATGGGAAGTAGGGTGGCAGTTGCTTCTGACTATAGCAGGGAAAAACTTGTTAAAAATCAAAAGTGACATTTGGGTGAATGTGAAAATAAGTGACATTACATTTTTAAGAAAAAGAGGAAGAGCAGCAGAGTGAGGAAAATGGGCTTCAAAAAGGCAAATTTTGACATACTGAAATAACAAGTATAAAGGATCTATGCTGAAACAATCTGATAGATGGAGCGCAGGAGAGCTGGCATTCACTAGCAGAGACTGTTTAAAGGCATGCCAGACAAACTTGATGCAGAGGACAGCAAAAAGTCTGTTACCTTCAGGAACTCTGAGGACATGAAAATCAGAGTGGAAAAACTAAAAAAATGGAAATGTGGCAGATGACTGAGGAGCACCACAAAAAGAGGTGAGTGGAGCTGTTCAGAAAGGTAAGAGGTAATGTGAGTTACAGCAAGCAAGGGAAATGAAAGAAGAGAACACCACAGTGGAAGAAACAGAGTAAAACTACAGGTAAGGTATTGCTTGGGAAAAGCAAAAACAGACCAAGAGATGACAACCACTTAATGACTACTTTGGATCACGCATCATTGAAATGTTCACTGGTTAATGCAATTAATTTCAACACAGGACTGGGACTGCAGCCTAGAGTAAAGCAAGAAAAAGATCACAATATTAAGATAAGTTTGATTCCATGATGAAATTCTTCCTAAAGCACTAAGGAATCAGCTAAGCAATCATTGATACGGCTTCAGGAAACTGTGAAGGGACAAGGGAGGTCTTAGAAGATAGGAAAGGGCAAATTAACTTTAATAAGGGGCAAGTAGAAAATATCAAGAAGTAGCAGAATGAAGGTGTGTCTCCGATATCGAGAAAGAGCGTAGGACAAATGATTAAACAATCAGTTTGCAAAGAAGGCACATCTCAACCTAGGATTAAACAGAGTTGTAGGCATGGGAGGGAACTGCTCTGTACTAGTAGTATCATGCCTGACTTTTCAAAAGCAGATAAGGTATATGTGTGAAGGGTGGCCCAGTTATGCTTCATCCTGCCTCTCTGCAGCTCTTCCGAATTTTCTTCCTCTTCCACATCTTTGTGATTATGTTAATTGGATTTCATGATTTAGCTCCCTGGCATTTTAATTTTATCATGTGACTTTAAAATGCAATAATATGATTGCAAGTCACTGAGTGAAATAAATTCACTTCTTGGGATGTCTGGGTGAACACACGGTGTGAGAAGGGAGCCCAGTTACCCTGTTCTACAGATGAGGCCAATCCGAGTAATGTTTGATGGGGGAAAGGAAAACCTTGAGATGGGAAGGACATTGATAGCCATGGGAAGCAACAGAGAATGTAGGTAAATTTACCATCTTTGTGCCAGAGCATTGGATTACTATCATTTATTTAGGCGTCTTAACACGAGAGGCAGCAAAGTTACAACAAGATAAGGAAACAACACCCATACTGTTTTTGTAAGATTTGGGGCTTGGTTCCCTCTGGGACTGTGCTTAGTTTATGACGGCTGCACCCCCTGGAGTTAGCTTTATTGCTCATGTAAACATTATTTATTGTCAGAAGAAAAATAAGTGCTGTGCAGGAAGGAGATGAAAGCAGCTGTGAATCTCAAATAGACATTTAAAAACTCGTATTTATTAAGATAACCCTTAAATATTTGCCAGCCAGTGGTTTCAAATGGATTCAGGCTCCCACTTCTGCTACAGAAGACTTGCATTTCCTTGTATTTTTATGGAGCTGATGGCTTGCACTTAAAGAACAAGTTAAAATGCTACAATCTACATAAACAAGCACAAGACAGCCCCCTTCCTGCATGGATGCTTATAAATTAATTGATGTACATTACAGTATGACAGGCTAATTCTTCACAGATTTAAAAACTGGCAACAGTGTTTATCAGAGCAATTGCTTATTTGCATTCCCTCACCCTGTATTTTAAAACTGTTTTCCTAGAGCAGGTAACTCTGCTAAGGCTGTTGCACTCGTCTGTTGTTAAGCTTTGACTGCTTGCAGAAAACCAGAAGACAGTTTTTAAGATCCTATGCTAAATACTAAACAGGGAATGGTTTTGAAGCCAGCTTACTACTATTTGCTAGAGGGTATCTGATCCTTACTTCCTTTTAAATGAAAATTCATTCTTTGAGACAAAGGAAAGAATGCATTTGCCATGCTGGAAACCTGCAGTGGCTGAACCTGGGAAGTGCTGAGTGCTCTGCATGGGAACCCACTGAACCCCGTACCTGCAGCAGTAAGTCCTTACAGAAATACCTCCTGTGGGGAACACGTACTTGTATTTGTGGGATATCACAGCATACAGTGTTACCAGATCCTGTGATTTTTGTCACAAGTCTCGTGATATTTTCTTAAGCCACAAATGGTAGAGTTGGATGAATATGTGAAAATCACAGCTTCTATTTAAAAAGAAAAGTGTCTCACGCTTGAGTTTAAAGGGAGAAGTTTCGGTCCTGAAGTGTCAAACAACAGAAGAAACACACAAATCTCTTAAGTTTCTTTGATGGTAGTGACATGATTTGGGGGAGGCCTGACTCATGCATGATTCATGAATACTTAAGCTATCAATGTATGTATGTATGACCTTGACATGTCTTGAAAGAAAGGGAGCGACTACATTTTGATCTGGATGGAGCAATGAAGCTTGGGATGGACACTAGAGTATCTGCCATAGAGTTAACATTGCTTTCATGGAGACTTCCACATGGATTTTTGGCCATGCAGGCTTTCTCCAGGACACCTGCCCCTTGGGTATTATCCTGGAAGTCTCTAAAGATGTTGTTTTCCTCAGCATGCTCTGCCACTGACAGTCTAACTTTTGGTTATGGGCTAGTATTGTTCAAAGTTTCCATGAGAAACCCAGAGAAGAGGCAGGACTGTG